TCGCCTTTCTTATTTGTGAAAAGAAGAATAAGTCAAAGCCTTTAAAGAGGGGGGGAGGTTATTCTATAACTAGAAATATGGTGCCTGGGTTTATTTGTACTACTTTGCTAGAGTGTTTGTTCCAGGTTCTCTCAATCTCGTACCAGACGATTTGGGATCTTTCGCATCCTAGGAAGCAATGGTTGAGTGTTTCGTTGGATTCGGAGTTGCAGACTGTACACCGCTATGCTTGTTCGGATCTGGCTTCTTTTTTTCTTCTTTGTGCGAGCCAATCGTTATGGGACTGCTCTGAATGTGATGAGACATAGTATGCTTGCCAGTTTGACTGGTTTTGCTCACAATACAGATCCCAAAATGCCTCAATCTTATGCAGGAACTTCTGAAAATGCCATGCTAATAAACTTTAGGGCTAGGCTACGAAAGTCGCCTGGCCGTGCCAGCCCGGCCCGGCCCGCCCGCCCGGACTCGCCCGGGGCACCTGCAGCGCATTTTTGCGCTTCGCCTAAAGTGTCCAAATCCGCTGTGTTTTTTTTTTTTGTGTGTGGGTCGAGCTTTGGTGGGTTGGGGGACGCGGGGAGAGAGGGGAAAGGGGGTGGGGGTGGGGGGGTTCTGCAGTTGCTGATACCGGTCCAAGCAACCGGTTGTGGTATCCGCAATCACTGCCATCACCTCCTCCTCCTTTCCCCCTCCTCCTTTCTCCCTTCTCCTCGTCATTTAAATTTGCCCTGTCTCGCCACACAGACATCCCCGCCCCCTTCCCTACCCTTTCATCAAACACCATCTCCCTCCTAAGTTCCTAACCAATCACTCCGCCGCCACGTGGCCCAGTCTCGCCACGGTGGCAAAAAGTGACGACAATGGTGCGAACACGAAAAAAAGAGAAAAAAGAATAAGTGAGGAGAAGAAGAAAGGAAGAGGCGGAGGAAGTGGAGGAGGAGGAGAAGGAAGAAAGGAGGGGGAGGGGGAGGAGGAGGAGGAGGAGGAGACGGAAGAAAGGAGGAGGAGGACAATGAGGGGAAGTAGCAAGAAAGGAGGAGGAAAATGAAAGGAGTTCGTGATTCGGATCACAAAGTCCTTTCTTCCTCCTCCTCCTCCTCCTCCTCCTCTCTTCGTTCCATCGCCACGTCACACACCATCACCAACAAGAACAAAGAAAGCAGGTGGACGAGGAAAGCAGGACGAGGGCGAAGAAAGGAGGACGACGACGAAGACAGCATGAGGGTGAGGATGACGACGAGAAGAAGCACGGAAGAAGAAATACAAGCAGAGGAGGAAGACGTCTGAAGGAGGAGTAGAAGGACAAAGAGATGGTCGAGGACGGAGGGGCCGTCAGAGTAGGAGGACGACGACGAAGCGAACTCACCTTCAGCGATGGCCAGCACAATGACGACACATAGGGGCAACGGTGATGGACAGCGCAGCCACGACGAGGACACGCGGGGGCAATGACGATGGACTGCACCACGACGATGATGGCCGCGGGACGGCGCTCAGGAGGGTGGCTACATGAGGCGGGCAGGATGCTACATCAATGCAAAGTTCGAATTCGAATCGCCGGCGTGGAATTCGGATACGAACCCCGATTGAGCCTGAGCCGTTAATCGTCTTGGATCAACGGCGCAGATAGGGGCCTGCTGGGCCCCGTTTTCTTTTTCTGGCGCCTCCGAGCAGGGAGTGCCCGTCTCTGTGCCCCAGGGGCAAAAAAAACCCAAAAGGACCCTGCGCAGGATTTTACACTGGGGGTTGGACCGGGCGAGGTAGGGGGTAACCTGGGCCGCTCGGGTCGTAGCCTAGCTTTAGGGTTAACAGACCCTACACTTAATTAGCGCCGAGGGGATTTTCTCTCCTCCGGCCTTCTCACTGTCTTCAGATCACGCTTTCGCTTCACAAACACTTCTCCCATCTTCTTGATCACCTTTCTTGCGCCTCACACACCTCCTATCACCTCCTTCCCATGCTCGCCAACCCTGAAGGATGGCAGAAATCGATTCTCCACCTCCAGCGCTAACCCAGGAGAACATGGCCAAACAGTTTGCTCCAAGGAGGTCACCGGCTCAGGTTTCGATACCAACTGCTATGTGACTGGCTGAGATGCGATTTCAACCAGTCACATAGCAAAGGGAGAAGACTGAATTTGACTGCAGAAGGGCTTACGGGTGAACGTAGTAAGGACAAGTGTGGTCAGGAAATTGTTAGGAAGTTATAGGAACCCAAAATAGACTTTCAGCAACTCAGAAAGGCTCAATTGTCCAGTCCACATGCTGACCGGCATGATCACAATACCGGCCTGAACTTGGGCACCTCAAGGCTGGATACATCGGGACCAGGTAGGATAGCAGTGCAATGATGGTACCAGCTGGAGGGAAGGACAGTTGGACAAGAGGAGAGGCCACGTGGGGCCCACCCGTCCTAGAGTGGCTGGTTGAAGAGGTTACTTGCTGCTGGATTGGTGTATGCGGCTTGGTGAGCGGTGCAGTTCCTCCTCGTCTTTGCTGGCTGCTGTGTCGAGCTCCAAGGAGGAGGAGGAGGACAATGAGGGCGAGTTTGGATGGAGCTGCTGGGAGTCAACGAGGTCTGACAGCGTCGAAGCCGATCTCCCATCTTCACTCCCCAGGTTGGCACTGCATGAAGGAAACCCTTTTGGGGTTCTGTTGGACTGTGGCTTCATCTATGCGTGACGCAGTGAGGTCGCTAGTATGCGACATCAAGCAGCAAAGATTGTGTTATCCTCTGTACATCTGGCTTGAGAAGCAGGATTATCCCCAAGAGATAGCTGTGCAACTGGAGGAGAGCCAAAGGGAGGTTGACTGTCCAGGGCATTGCTGGATTCCTTATTCATTCATTCCTTTGATTGTAACTGATTAAGCCAACAGTTCACGCGACGCCAGTTGACGAAGCTACCTTCCAAGGCTCATAAGCCTGCAACTTCCCTTTTCCAAAGTGGCCTGCCGCTTTCGCTACCGGTCCAGGCCCGAATCAAAATGCGCTTACCACGTATGCCGCTAAGAGCACTAACTGGTGGTTGAATAAAGAGGAGGGAATTTGAGTGCACTGAGAAGTGGAGGAGATCACATTGGAGTATTCTGGTGGTCTCCTTCTTGTGGACCACCTCAAATGTCTCTTTGGAGAGATCTTGAATACATGCTTGCATTATATGTAACATATATGATTCGATGTACTGATTCGACAAACGGAGAACTCCATTTTTCTTCCCAGCTCATTGCCAATGATGCTGCCTTGCATAATGGGTCAGCAGCTCAGCAAGGAAATTGATACAGCAAGCTTGTGTGTTGTCATGTTCACTATACACAACTCCACAGCAGCAACAACAACAAAAAAAAAGAAAAAAAAAAAAGAACACATGATTGTCCCAAACGTCCTGCATCCAACGAATATAAACAATCAGTATCCATCATCAAATATAATATCCCTCAAGCTCTCCATGCCTGTGAAGTCATGGAGAGCTTGAGGGATATTATATGCTCTTCACATGGTGCCAGAACAGCCGGCCCAGAAGCATAGCCACCGAGGGCACTCACAGGGCAGTACACACATCCACCACGGACCAAAGGAGATCACCACCAATTCACACCAAAGTAGAACTCTAAACAATCTAGCCTCACGCTAGCATTGGAGTCAGGGAGTAATTTCAATGAGTTTGTTTTCACCAGCGGATATACAGGCACACAGGCAGTCCAAACAGATCAGTCCGCCTAATTCTGTGGCAGGCACTCTTTACAAACAGGCACTGGCTATTTGACACATCTTACAGGTGCTCACTAAACACAGGAGAAGACTAGTGCACAAAAAATGGACAACACAAAACATTCAGAAGGAGAAGAAGCAAAAGACATTGAAGTTGATTAAACATATTATGCATACGTGTGTGTTTGGAACTGTCGCCACAACCACCCCTTTTCCACCCAGATGAACTGGTTCAAACAGCTTAACTCTATAGCAAACAATGAAGCACACTAAGGAGAGCAATCCAAGATTGAAACAGCTTTATCTCTATGGCAAACAACATCAAGCACAATAAAAGCGCTATATTGCCTTTCTATTGTACAGTCCTTTCTTTGCTATCTTTACTCTGGTTTTCTTTGGGGTACCCCTTTTGTTTCTTCTTCCAGCTCCGCTTTTACTGTGCCTGTAGCGTACAAGGCTTGCCATATTGATCGAGGTTGAGCGGAAGTTGCCCACATCCCCGTGTGCATTAACGGCCCACTTGCACGCAATCAAAAGACACACATTAAAAGGGGATGTAATGACCTGCCAAACACGGACCGAGACACACAGCTGATTTCTGAGTTTTGCTCATGGAATGTATGCCTTACTGAGTTTCCCGCTTGTTGCTGAGTTTTCTGAGTCTGTGTGGGTGCGTGCTTGCTGGTCTGCATGCCTGTCTGAGTGCCTGTCGGTTTGAGTGTGTGTGTGACCCGCAAGGGCACTTGTTTGATCGGAAGGCCCAAACGGCCGATACTTACTTGTGGCCGTGACATTGAGGGTTGCAGCGGGGAAAACACTAAGTGGCGGGGAAAGAGGGCCACGGCACTTAGAGCAGCGGAAAACACTCGAGTAGCAGGTAGGCCGGTACCACACCAAGTAGAGGTAGATGTGCCGGGTACTCGAGGCCAAGCAGAAGAACACAAAAGTCGGCATTTTTAGAGGCCCAGAAGTTGTAGGCTAGGTCTAGGCAGGTACCAGTCCAACCAGACTGAATCTAGGGCCTGTACGGGCAAAATCAGAGTCTGCAATGATGTTTCCCTCCGAAAGGGAGGTGGTACCGGTTGCTTGAAGGCCGCGCGGCCTAGGAAGTCACTCGCCAAGAGGCAAGGAGGCCGCTATATCTCCAGGCGGAGCAAGGTGCTCCTCCTCGTTATCGATGTGCAAGTTTGGCGACAGACTGGTTGGAGCGCCGGCTGGAGCAGCGCTGCAGGGGAGGAGCAAGGGCAGGAGGAGGAAGAAGACCAGTAGGAGGGAGGAGCGCCAGAGGTACTTACCTGCCTATGGTGGATACCATCTTCATCACCTTAGTGGGCGCTGCATCTGGAAGGCCCCCGTTGGGGTAGAGCTGCACCAAGAAGCTTCGAGGCAGAGTCCGGCATGGCGGCCTGAGCTAGAGCAGCCATAGCTGCTTTGTGTTGTCCTTTGCGCAGCAGGGCGGTGCCCTGGTAGTCCGCCATAGCCTCGGCCGTGAGAGGAGGAAGAAGGGTGGCCATGGATGTGGTGGACCTCATGTGATGCCTGCAGTAGAAGAGGGATTCGAACATTGATTCTGGTTCAGACAGTCAACATTGTTATTATTATTTTATTACTTCTTGTTTGAATACGAGAGGAGGAGATAACGAGGAGGAGAGTGGTTGGCAAAAAAGAAGAGCATTATCATTGGTCTATGCTGGCGTACATCATCTTCTTCTTCTTTCTTTTTTCTTCTTCTTCGTCTTATCCTCTCTCTCCTCTCAAGTTCATTCATTTCTTTTCGCAATTGGACGGCATTGTACTTTCTGATGAATGTATACTTCGAAATTGGCCAGGATCATAACAGGGAGGGATAGTCCTGTTCAGGATTCAATACAATTTCACTTTATAAGTCTCTTAATGAAGCTCGTTCATATGCATTGAACTTGGGGACCAAGCGAACCAAGAACATTAACAAAGTGGGAGGGAGAAGTTCTGCATGAGAGGAGGGAGGGAGGAGGGAAAGGAAAAAGAGGTAGGTGTGGGGGCAACGAAGATTGCCCCCACACCCATCGGCTGCCCCGCACCCATCGGCTGCCGACCAGCCGACGGTCGGTCGGCAGCCCCGCACCCATCGGCTGCCGACCAGCCGACGGTAGGCGCCAACCGGTAGCCCCCCCCCCCCCCCCCCCCCAAAAAAAAAAAAAGGGTCCGGAACCCCAAATAACCCCATCCACACCGTTAAGAGAATCGGACAGTCAAAGAACTGAGAGGAACAGGCTAGAGGAGTATGTGATACAAAGGTAAGCAGATTAAACTCATGCAGTTAACACATAGATGTTGGACATGTACACCGATGTCAACTCAATGGTGGTAAAAAAGAAAAAGTTGTCGCGAATTCAGGTTCGGCGTCCCCGACGCCGCGTTTCGTCTCGGTGTCTCCGACCGGACCGTCATATTCCTCTCGATCCGTTGTAAGTGGCTACCAATAATAGCACTTTTTTGAAGCTTGCTCCCCCAAGACAAGTACGACAGGCCATTCAGAGAGCTGAACACTTCCCAAGTACGGATTCCTCTGACTGGTACGTATCTCACACCCCAGGAATTGCAGCACTCCATCACCACTATCAGTTCTCTTCAACACCAAATTGTCTGGGTAGCAGCCTTGGAATCTATGCATTACATCCTCCCAACCTTCAACAGGCAGTGATGCTGTAATGAAGATGACATCATCGATCAACCTTAGGCCGAACAACCGGTGCCTGTACCTACCAATACTACTAAAAAATTTGCGTTCCGCAAACGCACACGTAATGCATGCCAAGGGAGGGCTGGTACTCTATCCCATAGGGATACCTTCAACTTGTTTCAACAGCACCCCTTTAGCAATCGTATAGGTGTGTCGCAACTCGAGACGAATGAATTTCACCACTTCTTCAAGGTCCAACTTGCGCCAATGATCAGCGTCGGTGGTTGCTCCGAGCGTAGCCCCCTTCCCCCTTGTATTCACCCTCACGTATGTCCTCCCTTTCCCTCTGTGGTGCTCAACGATCCAATCAACTGCATCCAAGATTTCATGATGTGGAAGTCGACTAAACATCTCTTCAATGTCGTACGAGGTCGACTCCACATCATACACAAGAGACAATCGGTCAACCTTCATGTTTATTCGCTGAATATGATCCGCTAGGTGGGAAACCGCCTGCAGATTGAAGTGACAATCCACAGGGATTTGGAATAGTAAATGGTTTAGGGCCTTCGCGACCACTCTTTCCGTACTTACCATTGGTTCATTAAATGTAGGGCAGATGGGATCCTTGTGCTTCGGAAGCACATACGCTTCCCCGAACTTCCCTTTCGAGTTCCACTTAGCGAAGCGCCACAGCCCCTCATTCACAATGTCCTCCTTTGTTTCCCTCAAGACTTCCACAACGCGTGATTGGATAACACGATAACCCAGGCTTGACACAAAATTACTCGTCATCGCCGAGTGGTAAACAGAAGCACACATGACCAAGCTCTCCACAAAAGTACTCGTCATCGCCGAGTGGTAAACAAAAGGACACATGACCAAGCTCTCCAAAGCCACTCAATTCCTCCTTCCTCCTTGACCTTGATAACATCTGACAAAGATAACCTACCATCCCTTGACTTGGCCTCAATCACGCATTCAGCTAACCGTTCCCTAGGAAAGACCAGACACGATCCCTTCAGCTTAGCCCAATTAGTGAAACCCTCAACCACCTCACAATGTAGTAGCCCAGCTTGATCACTTACATCTGCTCGTGGGATATCATTAGCGTTGGCTAAGATGCGGTGATGACGCTCACCTTGGCTTAATCGGAAGCATACATGACCTCCCGATCTCGGGTAGGCCAACCCATGTAAGCACTTCACGAGCGGCATATGCTCGTTGATTGTGAAGAATGTCACCGATCGATTGGTTTTTAACCCAAACGACCCGGATTTTCTTCCGTGCACGCTTTCGAAAACAGACAGGTCAATCACATTCCATAATCCCGTCACTAACAACTTTCCTAAGTTCTACAAGACGTAGCCGATAATCAAACTTAACCCGCACAATCAGGTCAACAAACATATTTAAACCAAACTTATCACGGATCACATGAGATACTGAACGCCTCAAATACTTTCGTGTGGACTTTTCTTCGATAGTCCTTAATAACATTGTATAAGCGAATCGCTGATTTAATTCCCCATGCCTACACATCAAAAAGCTTACTTGGGTTTCTAAAAATTCCTCCCAGGATTTGCTTCATGAAACCTCCCTTCGGTTTCCAAACACGAAGGTGATCAATGACTACGACCCCACCACCTTCAAATACTCTTTTACAAAACTTTAGTAATGTTTCACTCTTCCCCAAACTAATCACACATTCGCCAAATCTCTTACGAACCTTCTTCCATCCGCAAGACCAAACGTTGTCACCGTTGCTTGTAATCGAAAACTAGCAAGTGTCAGCCTTCGCTTCAGCGGTCAACGATTCAAGAAGATCCAACGTGCAGTGCTCAATGTCAGTCAACCGAAATTGGATGGGTCGAATACTTCGGCATTCCCGAGGGCTTTGATTAGCATGCTTCTTTTTTTCTCTCTTACCTGATCGCTGCTTCTTTCCTTGGCTGGATTTCTTACACCCGCTCGTGTTAAAAAATGCAGACCACTGCTTAATGTAGATCTCTTCAAGCCGGATTAGCTCATCGTCACGAATAAAGTCCACAGGTAGCAGAACGTAGTTCCCGTGTCCAAATGAACACAACCATCTATGAAAGTGAGATTGCTTCTTATTCCGACAAACTGCAAGATGCTCCCGCTAGCGAATATCAACATTACGAGTAGTCTTCCCCACATACTGAAGTTTGCAATAAGGCGACACAGCCACATATATGCAGCCTCTCTGATTCAACCACTCTCCATGTTGTTCGTATAATCTCCTCCAACATTCCAAGATGTTGTTATTCCATCGGATTTCCCCTCTAAACGATAACAACACGACACAGAGTCTTAGTAGTTGTTCGGCCTCAGTGTCTACGTACTTTGAGCTGCAACTGTAGCTTGTTAGAGTCCGGACGATTCACCATATCTCATTAGTTCGGTAACCTCCTCATGCTTCGACCTCGTTTTCCTCTCCTTCTACGATCGTAGATTCCTCTTTCTCCCTACCGATAGCGCCAAACAAGTCAATCGGTTCAACTTCCCCAAATGCCTTCCAGGTCCGACGGCTCGCGATATCGAAGATGGCATCCACCTTGCCATTGTAAGCAACACCCTCATCCTTCCAGATCGCCTGGAGCTCCTCCATCGCCTGGTTCCGAAATCGCACTTTAGCAACCATACCCGGTTGCCTCGGGCTCTTCTTGCATTTCTCTACATACGGGGAGAGCTTTGTTTTGACCTTCGCCTTCGAACGGGTGACATGTAGCGTCCCCCCAGTCCCTTTCTGCCTGTTAGTCCTCGGGGTCCTCTTGGCAGGTGTCAGCATCGGTGGGCTATCTTCAAAAACAAGCTCTGGGCCCCTCTTGCGTTTCTCACTAATCGCACGTCTCCTTGTCTTCCTCCAAATCTCTTTCGTAGCTCCCTCGTTGTTCCCACCCTCCGAACTTAACCCTTGGTCGGATATATAAACAGCATGTTTCTTGCCTTTGGCCTTGCGGACCAAAGTAAAGACTGACCCCAAGTTCGCCTCCATTCTGTCGAAAAACTCGCCGGTCTTGATTGCCACTTGTAGCTCCACTTTCTTGTCGATCTCCACAACTCGCTCCTCTTCTTTCCGTAGCTTCTCCATCCTCTTACACTCCTTCTCGCGCTCCAGTTTCTCACATGCCTTACGTAGTTCTTCCTCCTCAGCTTCTTTCTTTAGTCACTCTTCTTCGACTTTCTTGGCCATTTCTGCATGAACAAACTCGGATACCGTGTGGCTGGGTTCTTCCCGAGTTCTTCCATTCGCCGTTGTAGCTCCGGATCTCGTGAAGCTGATCGATTTACATCCACCTTCTCGGTCTTCTACAGAGAGGTAGAGCGCCCCTACGTGAATCATAGGATGTTGACGGGCGGTTATCCATCACCCGCCATTGATTCCTACATTGATTCGCGTAGTGGCCTCTTTCATTGCATGTAAAGCATCTCGGAGGTGACCGTCAATAGTAACGATCACCTCCTCGATATAAGTTATGATCAGATCTGCGGCTGCTCCCATGTTCTTCACTTCCCGCTCTTATATCTCTCTGATCATATTCACGCCGGTCGCCCATCTTCGCACCTTCTTGTCAACTTTCGATGGACAAATTCAGTAACATAGGTCGCTGTGACTAGCACGCTCACTATTCCCGATAACTTCTCTCCAAGACGGTTCACGTGTGCTGTATCAAGTATGTGATACAAAGGTAAGCAGAGTAAACTCATGCAGTCAACGTCATAGACGTTGGACATGTACACCGATGTCAACTCAATGATAGTAAACTAGAAAAAGTTGTCGCGAATTCAGGTTCGGCATCTCCGACGCTGCGTTTCGGCAACCGCCACGTTGCCATCCTCAGGGGTTACTAAACTTCTTTCTGTAAAAACCCGCTCCACAAAATGGAAGTTTCATTTTGGGTTTTAGCTGAAGTGACAAGAGTCACATGAAACCCACGAAGGTGTTCAAAAATTTCGAAATGATTTTGTATTTCTGGGAATAAGCGTAACAAATTCATTTTAATGGTTAAATGAATAGAATTTTTGTGTATTTTGACAGGGTAGTTATGAAAAGAGATCACTGTGACAAGTTTTTCCAAAAAATTGTACATGCTACGTCCTCGTAGGGTGCTTTGACCTTTTTGCAGTGCTTCGCGCCTTTGAAATCGTGCCTGGCTACGTGTGTTTAGAGATTTTTGACCACAAAGGAGCGAAGCCGCTACCATTCCATTTTTTCCGAAACCGAAAGGAACTACTATGATTTTACATAATCGAGGCAGCCGCCAGGCAGCCACCTTTCTTCTCCCAAATACCCTCGTTCCGGTCACTCCCACCTTCGTGCTATCCATCTCCTACACTCCAAACTGTCGGTAAATTTCAACTACTTCAGTCCTGAAACAGGTCGACTCCTTCGCACATACCGTATTAGAATCAAAACCTACAGAGGAGGCCGTAGGCTAGAGGAGGCCTCCCTGAAGGAAGCCTACAGAGTCCACATTTCTGGGTTCGTTTCCATGACTTAGAATCAAAACCAGGCGAGGGGTGGTACATCCTTCCCCCGAGAAGTAATCGATGTCGTCCCTCGGGCTTTCCTACCTTACAGGGGAAGAGTGTGAGTGAGTCCTATATGTAGTTCCTTTTGACTTGTCGATGGAATAGGAACCGGACTGATGCTCCCCAAAATGGAAAAGGAGCCAGAGCCATAAGGTTCTAATATTTAAAAAAACAAGTGGACCCGCCGCAGCGACGCTGCGGCCGTTGTTGTGACACTGCTTGGGCATTTTTTTATTTTTTTTTCAGGAGGTTGTGTTTGTGTGTGTGTGTGTGTGTGTGTGTGTGTGAGAGAGAGAGAGAGAGAGAGAGAGAGAGAGAGAGAGAGAGAGAGAGAGAGAGAGAGAG